CATCATAAAGATCAGTGTTGTATGCGTATATATTATATACACAGGCCAGTAACAGCTATGTAGCTTGTAAATTTGTAAGAGGGAAAATGCTGATTGAAATGATAATGATGAAATAGCAAATAATTGAGGAGTATCATAGGTACCAATTCAATGGATATTTGTATAACAGAGAGCCCCCGTCAGTACTAAAAGAGCCCCCGTGAGAAGGCTCACGGGGGCTCTTTTTTGGGGGGAAGAGCCCCCGTGGACAAAAAATTAATTTGAGCCCCAAAAAATTAATTTGAGCCCTGGTTGTAGAGGAATCATGTACTTTGAAGAATGCTATCAGTTGTCTGATGACCGCTTGCAAGGCTTGAAACTCGGAGTACACCATCCACGTCCCATTAGTCTGTCTTATTCAATATTTATATACCAGTATATTATGTTTTTGTATAAGCAAATGGTACTGGTACACTGAGCAAACTTCTGGGGAAAAAGATTTCTAAAATCGAGAAGTTTGGCCATGTTTTATAGGCTGAGTTGTCGCTCCATGGTGTAATCATTAAATAAAAAGAAAAGTCAGTACAGCCCCCAAAATAGGATCAGATATCTATGAACCTTCCCCCTCCTACTTCTCCTTCGTATTTGAAGATTGTTGGACATTTTAACTGCGTGGCAATGTCTACTATTATATGTAATTTCCAATAAATGCATATTTCCGACAATTCCACTTTCTTGAGGGCTTGGTATTTTGATACTCTGAAACAAGCAGAAAGCCATGTTATCAATGCTAACCGCACCATCACATTCCCGAAGTGCGCGCGTTGCAATAAAATATTGTCGATTACTATTGCGGTATAAAATAGTCTGGGAGAAAATCAATAAGCAGCTTTGTTACTCCGATACAAAGCAGAAAGCCGCCCATGTTACATCAATTAAAGAGAAGGTTGAGTTCTGGGGAAAGGTAAAACAAAAATTATTTGTGAGCGTTCAATGCAAGTGTAATAGAACATCAAAGAAAAAAGTTATTCCCTGAAAATCTATTTCAAATGACTTCATATCCCAGATATAACAAGTAACATCTTTGTATGCCTGCCCGATTTGTATGCCATATGTTTGTGTAGTCCCATATCAATATCTTTCTGTTTACAGTGCTTGTTACTTTACCAAGACTGGGCCAAATTTTTTATCATTTTGATGACTCCAAAACCTTGCACTACACACCAATACTTACATGTTTATGCTAGATGATTAACCTTCTCTGATTGCTTCCCAAAAAAAAAAAAAATTCAAAATCTATTTTCCACATTATATTATCTTCAGGACATGTACGATATACAACACATCCATTTAGAAAGGAATATAATAGACTAGCCCATGCAGTAGCTGTACGTCTTGACATTCTGAGTGATAAAAGTGCTGAGATATTATGACGGCACTCATTTGTTTTGCTTGTACCTCTGACATTTTTACCTCTGACATTTTTACCTCTGACATTTTTACCTCTGACATTTTTTCCTCTGACATTTTTTCCTCTGACATTTTTACCTCTGACATTTTTTCCTCTGACATTTTTACCTCTGACATTTTTACCTCTGACATTTTTACCTCTGACATTTTTACCTCTGACATTTTTACCTCTGACATTTTTTCCTCTGACATTTTTTCCTCTGACATTTTTACCTGGCACCCATTAATCATACATTTTAACAGTATCAAAGACACCAAATTTACCAGTCGAAAATGAGAAAAGGGGAACTAAAATAAGGCCAAAAGGCTTTGTAAAATAAATTTCCTATAAGTATAAAATTATTATTTGTTTTTTTCAACTTATTTTGTGACTAAAAGACATGTAAACAAATTAAAAACAAACAGTGGATAAAACAATTTTAAAAAAGCCAGAAGAACACAAAAGGGAATTTATTTTGGTAATGAATTCCAAATCACCGGGAGATTGCACCGAGGAGATTTTTCATCATACATAACAAATAATTTTCCAACGATGAAAATTGGTACAATTTCTTGTGTTATAATTATGAGTACTAAGATTCGTAGGGAGCATGTTCGAGATTTTATAAGGAAGAAGATTATGAAAATAAAGGAACCCTAACACTGCTGTATGATACTGGTATAAATCAAATACAGTTTTGAGCTTGATAAAAAGAGAAGCGGAATGAGCAAGATAATGGCTACTGGTACAAATACGCAGTATTTTTTTCTGTAATTTAAATAACATTTTCAGTTTCAGTTTGCCACAGTTACCCTAGACACTGACACAATATGATACATGTGGTATTACAAGTGCATTATATAATGACAAGAGAGCATGATCTGAAAGATACCCTGTCGCTCATATAGTTGGAATATTCCTTTTTTTACCCCAATTTATGGAATTATTTTAGAAATGATTTATTCCTAATAGATCTAGATATTTGTATACATTCTTAGGTTTTATTGAATAATAATTTGCCAGTGTTTGTTTTGCGTGACTGCTAAAGCATGTGTATGATAATATGCTTATCAACTAGTAGACCTACGCCCTTAAGTCATAAATGACAGTAATGAGGATTAATGCCCCCGCAAAAGGGCACTAATATAGCATATCGACACGGTTTTGATCCTGGGGCCTCACAGTAACGAGGCCATTGCTTTGTCTCTGAACCATGACTGTACGCAGCGGGGGCTAGGGTAGGGGGGGGGGGCAGTTCCCACAAATAAAAAAAAATAAAAAATAAAATGCAATAAATTTTCAATAATTCATTGCATTTTACCCCGGTCCCCAATATGAAAAAAAATCCTCTGTGTGCTCTTGCCTTGAGCCATAATGCATGGCCGTACAGAGGATTTGTTTATGTTGGGAACCAGGGGGAAATTCAATGAATTATTGAAAATTTAATAAAACCGAATCGAGCCTTGTAAGATGGAAACAAAATCCCAGTGCAAGTTATGCGTATTGTCTGCATCTACGTATACATCACTGGCTAATCGGGGGGGGGGGGGGGGGGGGGGGGGGGGGGGGGGGTCCTCCTTTTTGGGGGCGACCTAACAAAATGGAAATGGTAAAAAGAGAGAACGATGGAAGAACAACATGAGAAGAGAAAGAGTGAATAATGTAAAAAGAGAAGAAGATAGAGGATGAAGGAAAAGGAGAGAGACAGAGAGAGGGAGAGAGAGAGAGATAGAGAGAAAAACAAAACAGGACGACCATGAAATTCCCTGTTTACAGATTACATTTCCGATGAGTTGGCTCGACATGTGCTTAAAAGTTTGCGGACGAAAGTACAACAATAAAATAGAAGTTGTATAAAATTTTCTTTAAGAGAGAAAGAGAGATTATTTCTGAAATTAAATGAAAGGGGCAATGTGACTTTTGAGGAGGAAATTTACAATTTCTATCGCTCGTGACCACTATTTGGAACTTACACCTTTTAAAAAAAATTCAAGAACCCCCTCCGCTTTGATATACGTGTTTCTCAAGACAACCTTTTGTTGTATAAAATTGAAGAGAATGTGAGTTTCATGTAGTTAAAGCTTCTAACAACCACTCCCGTGGACTGGGGGAGGGCGGAGGGGCCTGGGAGCCCCCCTCACTCGAAATTTTCGGCGATTGCGCCGCAACCGCTTGGAATTTTAAATTTTCGTTTCATGAATTTTTTCCCTCAAGTATAAGCACATTTTGATACCGTTTTCGTCGAATACTGGATATACCTGTAAGGTGTTATCACTATGAACATGGCAGACAAAGAAAGCGGACAAAATATACAGTTCCTCAGGTAGACAAAGGAACATCCCTTCACTGCTATTATGTAAAAATGTGTTGAACAGGTGAATATGCATGTGACACCTGTTTTACACAATAGCAGTGAAGGAATGTTCCTTTGTCTACCTGAGGAACTGTATATTTTGTCCGCTCTCTTTGTCTATCATGTTCATAGTGTATATAACAATCAGTATGCACATGTCATCAAACAAGGTTATCGTTATAATTGCAAATATTCATGTACAAGCAGAAATGTGAATACAGGTTTAGATGTATTTCTTCATAAGTGGGAGATATGAATTGATATCAAATTTGATATGTTTCTCAAAGTAACGGGGAGCTCAAAATAGCCCAACGCAGTAAGGGTTAAAGACTACCGGCAAAGGTTTTGCCCCTGTACCTCATCCGTAAAGAAAGAAGTGGTTCCCAAGACATTCTTTAGTTGTATACAATTGGAGAGAGTGTGAGTTTTATGTAGTTAAAGCTTCTAACAACCACTCCCGCGGGCCTTCTATTATTTATAAAATTTGTAAATGGTTGTAAGACAAGAAATATTTTCAGCTAAATTACGAAATCAACTACCATCATTTGATATAATTTTATCAGCTGTAAAACGTTATTATGAAATGGAAAAATATATATACCAAACAAATCTCAGAGAGAATAAATTGAAAAAGAAATGGTTTCACTTTAGAAAATGTTTTGAGGGTGTTGGAAATGTGCTAACATAAACATGATCATGTATTTTATGTTTGTTTTTGTTTTTTAATTATATATTTAAAGTAATAATTTTGTCATAAATGTTTGTTTTTATCTGCCACAAAAGTTTTCAGCCGTGATGATTATTATCTGAGTTAAGCCATTATGTATGGAAATTATTTATTTAATTATTTGTGTATGATATATGGATATACTGTATATGATGGAACTTGTTTTGAAAATAAAGAACCCTGTGGAAGGGGAAAAATAATTATAAAAAAAAAAAAAAACTTCGTTAGATGTCGCCAACATTCGTCAGAAAAGTTGGCGACATCCTTGTTATGCAGATGGTTTTTCTACGGGCCATTCTTGACCAGAAGTGCGTTTCAAACTCACTGATGTGGGCATAATCCCATTGAATGTTAGGTCCAGGATTTAGGTATTAAGGGTGTGTCCTGCTGCCCGAATACAAAATTCGCTGCCCGGCCTTTGTGTGCTCTTTAAAAAGAGCACACAATATGGGCAGTGCAATTTATCATGCAGATTGGATTCTGTGAAATACTATTATTCTTATCAGGTGAATGAAAAAGTTTGTATCGAGGCACTTGATTAACTTGGGGTGTCATTGAGAATGCCGTAGATTTGGCCACAATCCGTTCTGGATTTCAGTACCTCAGCGGTCACCCCGCTGTTACTATAGTAGCTTCTCGAGTTTGCACACGTACCGCAGATTCTCCGTCCGCGTTGAGCTGGCGAAAACTCCCCATGAACTCGAGACCTCGACCACCTCATAAAGGGAAGGCACGGGTTGGTTGACGCAGAGGGGGTGCAACAGATTTCATGGACTGCCTACTTCCCTGATAATTATGAACCCTATTGAACATTGGACTCTGGCTATACTATATTCATTGTCGCCTACCTGGTGCATTACATGCCTTCGATTTCTTGGATCATTCGTCTCTCGTCAACATGGCGTCCATAAAGAAGATACTGAAGCTGAAGATATTCCTGTGCTTGCTTTTAGTATATTCTGCATCTAGCTTTCTCATTTACTTAAGGAAATCAGTGTTTCAAAAGATTACTTTGACCGAAACGCATTCTGAAGTGCGAAAAGCGCTACATGAAGTTGAAAACGAAACTCGCTTATCAAACTGTTTTAGTGATGAAGAGAAACTGCTTGGTTGGAGACAGACTGTTCACTGGGAGTCCAAATTAGACCAGCATGAGTATCGCTATCTCATCAACCCGGAGAATGGATGCAAGAAATCAGAAAACTTGACATTGGTTATCCTCGTAAAGACAACAGTGGGTAGTGTAAAACGGAGGACTATCATCAGAGAAACGTATGGCAAGGGAGTGGTTAAATACAATGTTTCTGCGAAGATTGTATTTCTTACTGGATTCTCCGGGGAATATAATTCCACTCTGCAAGCCCAGCTCCAAAGTGAGGCTGATATTCACGGAGATATTCTACAAGAGGACTTTATTGATAGCTACTACAATCTAACCATTAAACTCATCATGGCCGCCAAATGGGCATCCACATTCTGTAACAATAGTTATTATGTAATGTCGATAGATGACGATGTCATCGTCGACATCGTTAACCTTGTCAACGATCTCGAAGCAAATACGTTTCGTTCGAAGTTTGTGTTGGCCGAGCCTGCAATTGACTGGGAAGTGCATCGGGATCCTGGAGACAAGTGGTACACTCCATATCAATTCTATCCGGAGGAGTCATGGCCTCCTTTTCCTCGAGGATACGCGTATATCGTCTCCAGAGATGTCGCCCATGATCTCTATCGTGCCTCTCAGAAGATGGCTGCACCGATACCCTGGGACGATGTATATTGTGGTATGCTCTTACAGACATTAGGGGTGGAGATGAGAAATATAATACCTTGGTTTCAGACTAGACATGGACATGAGAAACCAATAGCTCCGTTGAAAACTCAACACCACTATGTGATTTGGGATTCTGTACAGAAGCCCCCAAGGAATACCTGGAGAGCAATTGAACATAGATACAAGAACATTCACAACTTGTAGCGAAGTTTGCCCGTCCAGGAAGATCTTACATAGGAGAAGCCGTACGATGGATCGACAATGTGTTATTTCATTGATTTCCTTTCGTATTCATTTTTTCAGAGTTTTGAAACAATTGGAGACGTCGTTTTGCAAATAGGTCAAAGTTTGATATACACAAGTAAATAGATGTTAGTTATGAACGGAAGTCATTCACAGGATACTTTTAAATCCAACGTGGGGTTCAACAATGTGATCCTCTGTCACTATATTCATTTTTATTAGAAATTGAGATTTTGGCGAACGTAATCAGGAAGAAAAATGTTATTCATGCAAATGATGTAACAATCTTAAACCAGATGTGAAATTACGAACAGTTCAAAGTTAATTTTTTTTTTAGATCGCCAACGAGCGAAGGGCGAAAGTCAGAAAGAGGGGTTTGCCTGCCACTACCACACAAACTAAGTACACCTTGTTCATTCTAAAGATTTTATCATAATACTCAATGTTTCATATGTGTTTTTCTTAAATTTGTTGCGAACACCCCTAAATCGGAGGGGGCGTCCAAAACAGAGGCCCTTTTGACGAAAAAAAGTATTTTGTGAATAAAATTTTGAGGGAACCTTGAGCCACCATGAATGTGGTGTCATATGAAAGCAAATTAAATTATCTATATTTTGATAACAATATCAACGGAATTGTGATTAATTAACATCGAAACTTTAAGTGAAAAACATGATTTTTGTGATTTTTTTTCTCGAATATTAAATTATAAATATTTTCCATCAATTTTGTTCGTTATTTTCCAGGAATTTGCCCATGTACATGGACAATATCATATCATAGCCAAGGTGGGTTACATATGGTTAAAATTGAGAAATAGATACTGAGTTTTCGTTTAAGATGGCTTGGTAGATTATTGGATGACAATAAAGGTCCATGGAAAGATATGTGTAATTATTGGTTTGATTTGCTAAGTGGCGTAAGTCTTCTGTTAAACTGTAACTATGACCATAAGTTATTCAATGTGCAGAAATCGCAACTAGGCGTTGTGGCGTGCGCCTGTAATCCAGCTAAAAAGTGGAAGTTACAAACTGATTCAGCCGAGGACGCAGGTTCGAAATTGAGTCACGTCTTTCGGATGGTGACGTTTAAAGGTCGGTCCCAGACGTAAATAATCATATCTGATTGATACACGTCTGTAAAAACCCAATACACACACACACTGATTTCTATCTAGAAATATTATAAGCCTGGAATTATGTGAAAGGTTTTACTTGTAGTGATAATTATTCTGTACAAGATGTTTATAAGATTTTATAAGTAAATAGTATGGCATAACAAGGATATTGTATTTGATACGAAGTCTTTATTTTACGCAGATTGGTTTGGTTGTGGAATAATTTATCTAAATGACCTCTTTGAAGTAAGACATTTTTTGTCTATTAGAGACCTGTCAGTACGCCTTGAGACTAAAAAAAGCAAGCAAAATCTTTTATTCGATTATACTAAATTGAAGAAAGCTATTCCAAAGATATGGTTCAGTGATCTTTCAAAGGGTGAAACTGAACCAGTATATTATATTCACTCTCTAGAAATTCCTTATTTTAAATTTGGAAGAGTGTCTTTACTTATCAGAGACGTAAGCAGCAAACGTTTATTCAATCTGATATCTTTTAAACGTACATTCAACAACAGATGCTGTCTTTTTGGGGAAAATATACTACAAAGAAATATTGACTGGTCTTCCGTGTTCAAAAGGAATTTAACATACAAGGGAACATCGCTTAAAGGAGTTTAATTTTAAATTGCTCTACAGTATACTACCTGTTACTAGTTAGAAACAATCTTTACAAATGGGGATTAGCAGACGACAGATACTGTTCCCAGTGCAATGTCATAGAGGACATAGTGCATGTGTTTATCGAATGTGAACAGAATAAGAATTTCTTTGATTATATCAAACATGTTGTGAAGTACACTTTTAATATTGATTTTGTCATGGATATCTCTTGATTACTTAAGATTAATATTGACAGAGATATACGTTGTAACAACGATCGCATTCTGGTGTATATACAAAATGTTAGTCATCCGGAATTAGTATGGATTTAATGAAAACCGTTTCAAACTAAGATACGTATTTGTTAGAGAAATCAAAAACAGAATTGTTGTATAAAATCGGGAGCTTAAAAAGCCTGACCCGAGGTTGCCAAAGAGACTGTTACAAGCACTTTAGATGAAAAGAAGCAAAATATTGTAAAGTTGAGAAAAAATATGTGATTTTTATTGATAAACAGTGTGCGTCAATTGTATTTGTTCTCACAACTTTATTTTGATGTTTGAATGTAAATAAACACCTCATTAGAGGCAAAAAAAAATCATGTGCACAGGATAGGTTTGTATCTCTGTTCAGTGAAAATTTATATTGATTTGATTTCCACAAAAACAACAAATTTTGCCCACATGTCCATTAACTGTATGCATATACGTGTAGTGTATTGACGACGTGTTTGGTGTGTTTACATCGACAGTTAAAGATAACTTTTTATTTATTTATTTATTCAGTTTTATTTAAAAACAGGGTAGTCTTTTCAGTGCCAGAGGCCTGCTTTACAAAAGAGCCCTGTACATACAAAGATTTACAAAAAAATGGAATACATTGTAGAAAACAAAGACATTATATAAACAACATACCATAAGAGAACTAAAACAACTTAAAAACTAGATCAAATTTAACATAAGGCCTGAACTATTAAACATTAAGATATTATTGATACAATACAAAATACAAATACAAATACACATGCCATAAATAAATAACAGACATAAAATCAAAATGGTAAAAGGTAAGAAGAAAAAAAAAACTACTACAGACTACACAACTACAAAAGTCATAATATAACATTAGGTACCAGTGCATGCATTAAAGTGGAGGGAGTGATTTAATTTGTTTTTTGAACATTTGGAGTGAAGTTGCCGTGCGAATATGAATTGGTAGATTGTTATAAATGCTTGGAGCGATGAAAGAAAAAGATCGTTTTTTAAATCCAGTCTTGGGTTTTGGGATAACATCCAGTAAGTCAAAGTCCATCTTTATCAATGAAAGCTTGACACAACATCGTAACAAACTCTACTGGAAAGTCAAAATTGGTCTGGAAGGAAAGTAAAGACTACAAACTCTGGACACAAGACGGCAAAATTACTGTCAAGAAACCGAACGGCGAAAAGGTGACTATTCTCAGAGAAAGAGACTTATCGAAACTAGGCATAAATTGTTGAAAAGCTGTGCTTCTTTGTCGAAATCTTATCTTATTTTGATTTAACGCATGTTCATTTCGTTCTCTGTGATTTTTGGCTAACAACGTTTATTTTCGTTATTTCATTTTTGTTTCGTTTACTATTCCATGTGAATTATTTACATGCCAATTAAGTTTGCGTGTGTATGTTGCAAGAAACCAGTAAAATGCAATCAGAGAGCTCTTCTCTGTACAAACTGTAAAAATTGGGCCCATATTACGTGTGCCCGTGTATCTCTATCTCAATACAATGATAGAAAAGAACATTTTGAAAATTGGAATTGTCCAACTTGTATCCTACAAGAATTGCCCTTTTTTAATGAAGAGTTAGACGTAGATTGTGAACCCTGTGCCGGTAATGAGTCAAACTTAGAACGTGACACGAATCTAATTAAGAATGTAGATCAAAATTATAGTATTTATGATAAAGGATTGTCAATATCCCATCTTAATGTTAGAAGTTTACGAAATAAAAAAGGAGAAATTGAAATTTTTATAAGTAACAATTCAGTTGATTTATTCACAATGTCTGAGACCTGGATTGACGATTCCTTTACTTCGAACATGTTAGACATTCCAGGTTACATCTTCGAAAGAAGAGATAGAGGTAGTCGAGGTGGAGGAGTTGGGTGTTACATAAGAAATAATATAGGATATGTTACAAGACGTGATCTTGAAAAAGACGATTTGGAAATAATGTGGTTTGAATTAAGGGCTAGAAATCGATTACCATTTTTTGTAGGTGTCGTATATCGCAAACCTACATGTATATCCTTTTTTAAAAGCCTAGAATCAAACCTAGACCAAGTATTTTCTTTTACAAATAATGTTATAGTCCTCGGTGACTTTAACTCCAATATGCTGACTAAAAATACCCTTTCAAATAAGATGCATGAACTTTGTTCCACCTTTCAGTTAACTCAGCTTATCCGAGAACCAACAAGAATAACTCCTTTCAGCAGTACTTTAATTGACGTTATTTGTGTTTCTAGTTCAATGTTATCCAATATAAAGCAATCTGGAACAATTTCAAGTGGACTAAGAGGCTGTTCACACCGCAATGAGATAGCGCGGTCTATCGTAGCACCCCTTTTTTTCTAGCGCGCGCTAGACCGCGCTATCTCTCGTGGACCACCCCCAAGAGGTGCTCCAGTGGCACGCCGTTTTGGCTCGCCGTGGCTCGCTGTTGGGCAGACCGAAACGACGTTGTACCTTCCAAACCGTAGAGATAGCGCGGTCTAGCGCGCGCTATCTCTGCCGGTGTGAACAGCCTCTAAGTGACCACTCCCTAGTCTATTTGATCCTTGGACATAATACCCCAAAAGCTAAGCCCGAAATCTTTTCATTTAGATCGTTCAGGCATTTTGTCGTCGAAGATTTTGTCGAAGACCTATGTAAAATACAATGGAATGATCTATTATCGTCCGAAGAGGACGTAGAGTATTGCTGGGAGAAATTCAGTGAAGCATTCAAGGCATTAGCTGATAAACATGCTCCCCATGTTACAGTAAGAAAGAAACTAAATAGGTCTCCCTGGATTACAACTGAATACCTGGCTCTATCTAGGGATCGTGATGTCCCGATGCTGTCTTCTTTTAAGTAAATCCTCTAATCACCATGGATTTGCTCTAAAAAAAAAAATCAATAATTAAATTCCTTTAGGTTAATATCAATTTCACGGAGTGATGACATAGATGATATAGATGACGAGTGTGTGAAATATAAATTTGAGCCGAAAAGGTGCGTTTTTGTAGATATCTATTCTTTTCCCTCTAATTTTGGCAAGTATCTCGGTGTATTAGCTGGACAAAAGGGATTTGACATTTTGTAGTGCAGAAAGTTGAAAGGATTTGGAGTGCTGAAGACAATTGATAAGTCCTTCTTCTGTACTCTGTGATGTTTTAGGAAATATGGGAATTGGCAGTCCCCCCCCCCCCCCCTAAAAAAAAAAAAACTCCCGGCAAAGGCTCTCCCCCTGCACCCCATCTGTAAAGATAGAAGTGGTTTCCAAGACAACCTTGTGTTGTATATAATTAGAGAGCGTGTGAATTTGATATAGTTAAAGCTTCTAACAAACACAACCGTGAACCTTTACACAATAATAGGGACTTTTAAATTTGCACGTCGACATAGTGGACTGCTACGTGTGATGTCCTTTTAAGGCACTGGCAGTGCCTTAAAAGAACGTCACAGTGCCTTAACTTCACACGTAGCAGTCCATTATGTCGACGTGCAAATCTAAAAGTCCCTAATTTCTTGCTGTCTGCTGCCTCGAGAACACTGGAGCGAAGAAAGGTTACAATGTATAGCTAGAATCCCTTTTCATGTAGATGTTCTACTACCATTCTTGACCAGAAGTGCGTGTTCTACTACTGAACGAGATGGAATGCCTAATTATTAGGGCTTTTTTGTGCTCCTTAAAAAGAGCACACAATAGGGGCAATGTAATTTAAATTTCAAGGGATGGATAAGACT